TCTGTCTGTCTGTCTCTCTGTCTGTCTGCCTATCCATCTGTCTATCTGTCTGTCTGTCTATCTGTCTATCTGTCGGTCTGTCTGTCTATCTATCCATCTATCTATCTGTCTGTGTATCTATCTGTCTGTCTGTCTCTCTGTCTGTCTTCCTATCTATCTATCTATCTGTCTGTCTGTCTGTCTGTCTAGTGTTCTATCTATCTATCTATCCGTATCTATCTATCTATCTGTCTATCTATCTATCTATCTATCTATCTATCCATCTGTCTATCTGTCTGTCTGTCTATCTGTCTATCTGTCTGTCTGTCTATCCATCTGTCTGTCTGTCTATCTATCTATCTATCTATCCGTCTGTCTGTCTGTCTGTCTGTCTGTCTATCTATCTATCTATATCTCTCTCTCTGGAGGAGTTTATGGAGGGCGTTCAGGCAGACGAGGTTCTGTTGAAGATGTTGACTCAGAGTTTGGATCTGACTCATATCATCAAAAAAATCTACAGCAATATCAACTCTGACCAGCAGCGCCACTGATCCCAGACCAGCTGATGATGAAGATGATGAAGATGATGGCTGATGTGCTGGTTCTGGAGAGGGTTGTTTAGCGGCTCGTTTCTCCAGGTCTATTTCTCATCTTAAAAACTGAACTTTACCGTCGAGTGAAGAGGTTTAAATCCTCACCGCATCAGATTTGACCAGTATTTAACGTGTTTTACTGTGTTACTCTCAGCTGGACTGAATTTCAAAAGCCAGCAGCTGATTTTTCTCCTGTAATCTCACAGAATAATGTTAGCGACTGAAATGACAGCAAACCCTCTCTAAGTGCAGTTATACACACTAAAACCTTGAATCAAAATACAACACTCTTCAGTGATGTGTGTATATATATATATATAAGGGGAATAACATGTTATTTATGTCAAAATAAATACATAAAGTATTATATTCTGTCGAGTACATTTATACACTTGGATTCCCTTTTGAAAATAAAACATGAAACCTGTGCTTCGTGTGCATAATAATAACTATAAACAACCTCAAAATATGAGACATGATCTATTGAACTGACTGGCAATCAATGCAATTTTGTATTTATGCCCCAAATATTTTTAACAAAATTATAATTTCATATAAAATATGTGTAAAATAAAACTAATAATCAGTTATATGTAAAATAACACTACAAATCGGTGTTATTTCAGTAATACTATTACTTATACACTGTTATTGTATTTATTAATGTTTTGAATTATCTTTTATTATTTAAGATTTTATTTAAGATTTATTTCAATTACAGATTACAATTTTCATTAATTTTAGATTTTAATTTTGTTTTGTGCTTTTGTCAATACTTTTCTATTTCTATATAACTATTTACATTTATTTTATTAGTGCTTCAACTTAAACATATTTCAGTAACATTCATTTAGGTTTTTAAAGTTTTTCATCTAATATTTTTTTTTTCCAGCTTTATTTCAATTACAGTTTACGATTTTCATTATTTTTTTAGTTTAATTTTAGTTTTAATTACCAAAAACAGCACTGCCATAATGAATGTAGTGTGAGCACCTTCTTACAATAAATAGTTGTTGAAAATTAAATTAATTGAAAATTAATTGAAAATTAAAATAAAATAAATTGACGCATTCTGAAAAAAGAGATTTCAGTCTGTGGTCATTATAATTAATTTATATAAAACATGTTCTCATTTAATCGACCAAATCTTAAGACAAACTATAAATATAATAATCTTTTATAAGGACTCGAGTGTGACGTCACGGAACCGGGCGTGACGTCACCGCCACACCTGCGTTTCGGCGGAAGGTAAAACTTTCGAGCAGAGATTGAAACACACACGAAACGCTCTTCATACGGACTCACGGCGACCGTGCGAGCGCGTTAGCTGATTTACGACCGGTTTACGACGACTTCAATCCGGTTTATTCATAAAGCAGCTCTTTTTTTGCGGTAAAGGCCTCAGGATTGCTGGGTTTTTTCCTGCTTTGACGCTCAAACGCTTCCTGAAACCCTCAGGTGAGACTCATTAATATTTAAATCACATATATATTTAATTTTTACACGTTCCTGCAATATAATACACGTAAATATGCTTTACTATCGGAATTTCAGTGTTTTTATCGACGACAGTTTTATGTGAGAGTATATCAAAGTCACCGGCTGCTTATTTACTCAATTTATTAATCTATATAGCGATTATTTCTGATTATAGGTTGAATTAATGATCATATTAAGTATAATTATTAACATCAGCTTTATCTGGCCTGTGTCAAGTTATGAAACTAAAAATCTGGTCAGTGAAAGTGTAGTTTAGGCTGCTGCTAGTAATACAAATACTAACTAATATATGTGTTAATATTGTTGTTAATGTGATCAAATAGATTAAATATAACATATAATAAAAACATTATATTCTTCTATTATTATACCATTTATGATTTCCTCCTACATATACTCATCATGTTAATATAATATTTTTACTGTCATAATACTATTTATTAATTAATATAATATTATAAAATATATTAAAAATAGCAACATATTGCATAATAATAATTTATTTAAAAAACAATTGCTGTGTAGTTTCAGTTTGATAATTTTTACCTTTATTTATGTGATTTTGCTCCTCTACAGAATGTAATTTTAATATATGAATAGTAATAATAATAATGGTATATTTATCAATTAGTATAAAATTACTAATAATATTAAAACGTGTATTAAAATAAAAATGTATAATACAATTTTTTATTAATTAATTAAAAATATTAGTGTTTGTAGGCTCAGTTAGATTATTTTCAGGCTGGTTTATGTGTTCTTTCTCCTCTCCAGAAGGTGGTCATGTCCTCTCATCCGCGTCGAGTGCGACTCAAGCCCTGGCTGGTGTCTCAGGTGGATAACGGGACGTTTCCCGGTCTGATCTGGCTGAACCGCGAGACCAAACGCTTCCAGATCCCGTGGAAACACGCCACGCGTCACACGCCGCAGCAGGAGGAGGAGAACACCATCTTTAAGGTGAGGGATGGAGGGTCCGGGGTACAGCGGGACGGGACTGACCCGATCCGTGTGTGTTTGTCAGGCCTGGGCCGTGGAGACCGGGAAGTATCAGGAAGGCGTGGATGAGCCGGATCCGGCCAAATGGAAAGCGCAGCTGAGATGCGCCCTTAACAAGAGCCGCGAGTTCAACCTCATCTACGACGGGACCATCACTCGCTCACTCACTCACTCACACTCACACTCACACTCACACTCACACACGCTCACTCACACTCACTCACTCACTCACTCACTCACTCACTCACACTCACTCACACACACCTCACTCACACATGCTCATTCACACTCACTCACACACACACTCACACACAGACACTCACACACACACACACAGACACTCACACACAGAAACTCACACACACACACACACACAGACAGACAGACACACACACACTCACTCACACACAGACACTCACTCACTCACTCACTCACTCACTCACTCACTCACTCACTCACTCACTCACTCACTCACTCACTCACTCACTCACTCACTCACTCACTCACTCACTCACTCACTCACTCACTCACTCACTCACTCACTCACTCACTCACTCACTCACTCACTCACTCACTCACTCACTCACTCACTCACTCACTCACTCACTCACTCACTCACTCACTCACTCACTCACTCACTCACTCACTCACTCACTCACTCACTCACTCACTCACTCACTCACTCACTCACTCACTCACTCACTCACTCACTCACTCACTCACTCACTCACTCACTCACTCACTCACTCACTCACTCACTCACTCACTCACTCACTCACTCACTCACTCACTCACTCACTCACTCACTCACTCACTCACTCACTCACTCACTCACTCACTCACTCACTCACTCACTCACTCACTCACTCACTCACTCACTCACTCACTCACTCACTCACTCACTCACTCACTCACTCACTCACTCACTCACTCACTCACTCACTCACTCACTCACTCACTCACTCACTCACTCACTCACTCACTCACTCACTCACTCACTCACTCACTCACTCACTCACTCACTCACTCACTCACTCACTCACTCACTCACTCACTCACTCACTCACTCACTCACTCACTCACTCACTCACTCACTCACTCACTCACTCACTCACTCACTCACACACTCACTCACACACACCTCACTCACACACACACAGACACTCACACATGCTCATTCACACTCACTCACTCACTCACTCACTCACACACTCATGCACACACACAGACACTCACACAGACACTCACACTCAGACACACACACACTCTCTCATATACACACACACTCTCATTCACTCACACACAGACACACACTCACTCACTAACTCACTCACACACACACACACACAACTCTGTATAGCTATCTTTGTGAGGACAAAAATTCGTCAAGACAAACTTTAGGTTGGCTTGAGAAAGCCTAGCCTGAAAGTTTAAAGCAGCTGTAAAAGCCTTAAGTTTTAAAGTTTAGATGGATGTCGATAACATGTTTCTAGCATGATTAACATGTTTTTAACATAATTGGCCTGTTACTTGCATATTGTTGGCATGATTAGCAAGTAACTAAATAATATTCATGATTAGTATGTGAATAAACAATCCATTAAGAAGGTCTTTATCATTTACTAATACATGCTGAATTATATAAATGTGATTTTGACACGTTTAATTGATTATTTGGTCTTAAATTTAAATTTTACTAGCTCTATATAGAAACAAATGGTATTTACAAAATATTAATGAATGATATGTAAAAAAAAAAAAGAAAAAAAAGAGGATCAATTAAGAATGATCATTTACTAATACACATGGAATTATATAAACATTAAATATGATTAATATTGATAAATTTAATTGATTATTTGATCTTACATTTGAATTTTTGTAGCTCTATGTGAAAACTAATAATATTGTAAAATTTAATAATTAATGATTTGATATAATTCACCTAGTTTAATTGATAATTTCATCTTAAAAGTAGCTCTATATGGAAAGTATTTAAATAATATTAATTATTAATATGTGAATAAATTATACTAATACGTTGAATTATATAGTCACATTAAATATGATTAATTTGACAAGTTTGATCATAAATGTGCATTTTTGTCGCTCTGTAACACAAGATCCTGTCATATTTTACCCATAATGCATATTTCTTTATTTATACAGCTGTATATAAAGTAAATAATGCACAAATCTGTACATAAATCTACTGTTCCAGATTCATACATATTATTATTATTATTATTATTATTATTATTATTTGTTGTTAAGTCTTACTATTTAAATGTTTTTCTGTTCTCATGTCAGATGTGTATGTATGTATGTACCAGAAGCACGTTAAAAAACCACAACATATTCCTCATGTGTTTGCGCACACCTGGCGAATAAAGCTAATTCTGATTCTGATAATGCTCTGTGTGTGTGTTTAGTGACGGATCTGGAGGTGCAGTTCTATTACCGCGGTAAGGAGGTGTGTCCGCCGGTGATCGTCAGTAACCCGCAGGGCTGTCGTCTGTTCTACGGCGATCTGGGGCCCATCGTCAACCAGGAGGAGCTGTTCGGGCCTGTCAGTCTGGAGCAGGTGCGCTTCCCCTCCACCGAACACATCACTAACGACAAGCAGCGAGTGTTCACGAGCCGCCTGCTGGACGTCATGGACCGCGGCCTCATCCTGGAGGTGAGCGGACACGACATCTACGCCGTGCGCCTGTGCCAGTGTAAGGTGTACTGGTCCGGCCCGTGCGCGCCCAACCCCAACGCTCCCAACCTGATCGAGCGCCAGCACAGGGTCAAGCTCTTCTGCCTCGAGTCCTTCCTCAGCGGTGAGTGAGCGGCTGTCGAGTCGCAGTCTTATGAGACGAGCGAAATAACTCTGCCAGTTTCAGTCACGCTTTGCCGTACAAATGTAACGATATTGGATTTTTGCCGATATCCGATATGCCGATAATTTTCAACTCATTTTGAAATATTCAAAGAAAACTACGTTTCAAATATTGTAGAAACTTAATTTTCTGTAAAGTTGCTTTGCAACGATTTGTATCGTAAAAAGCGCTATACAAATAAACTAGAATTGAATTGAATTTTGGCCGATAGCCAATGCCGATACATAATTATTTTTCATTTTGGTTAGTTTTTAACAAGAACTTATACTTGCAATATGTATTAGGGATGCACGATATTGGATTTTTGCCGATATCCAATATGACGATAATTTTCAACTCATTTTGGCCAATAGCCGATGCCGATACCGATAATATAGTTATTTTTAATTTTGTTTAGTTTTTAACAAGAACTTATTTGTTTGAATTAAATAAACAATAATAAAGTTATTTTATAATTACAGTACATTGAAAATAACTATAAATAAACTATATATCAATCACTGCATTTTTTTTTTCAGAAAGATGCAGTGGTAACCTTATTTTATTTTATGATTTAACGTTTGTAGATGGTCTAAAGCAAAAGTGTTGTAAAAATTCTGAAAATATTTTAGAGCTCATGATTTGTTTAAAAAATATAACATATTACACATTAATCAATAAATCAGTATATATAAAGTAGGGCTGTGCGATTAATCGAAATCGAATCGAAATCGCGTGCGATTTCCTAATCGCAAAGCCTGCGATATGGACGCGATATTACTCTGTTCCAGAGCATATGCATGACTGCCAGCCTTGAGTTGCAGT